CCCCACCTCCCCCGCCCCCCGCGCCTGGTAACGTAAATAAACAGTGAAGATAGGCGTCTTCTGCTCAACACCGATATTGTCCACTCAAATGTATAATATGATTCCAATCAGAATTTTAGGGTGGACAGCGCCGCTTTTCGATATTGATCGCAAGCTATAGTGCTTGATGGTTTCTGGTCTTGAATATTCAATTGTTCTTTTCCGGTTATTGGAGGAGGTTAGTGTACTCCAGTTGCTTCATCTTTTACACACCCACACAAGTTGTAAGTTACATTTGGTATCTGAGTAAATGATGTACTAGGCCATTTGCGAATGGTTGAACTTGTATTCTTATACATGTTGCTCTGTACCATTCTTGTGGAACAGCAAAATGTGTCACTTCTGGTTGGGGTGGGGGCTTTCATAGTCAACTGAGGGTTATGGCTCTTACTTGTGTAATCCTAATCAATCAATCAATCAATCAATCAATCAATCAATGTTCTTCAGCTAATTTGGAGCTGTCCTATCCACCACTGTCCTGATAAAGGTACCTGGGAGATGTGCACAGCCTACAGTAGTATGAGCAGAGGGATATGTTACGTACACTTAATGCTTTAGTCCAGTGCCTTGAAAGACCATGGTCGTTTAGAGAATGGGGGGAGAGGCATTTAAAAATGTGTTGTATGATGTATTTATATTTTTTTTAGACCATGGTCGTTTAGAGAATGGGGGGAGAGGCATTTAAAAATGTGTTGTATGAGTAAATTATATGTAATCAATAGTTAATGATTGTTGAAAAATAAATGAGAGCAAGCATTAAAAAAACTAGCGCTAAGAGTACTGTTTAATATGATTGCAGGAATATGGCCCGGATGTTCTTCACATGAGCAAAGAAGTCTATGGAGTCATTTTTCCTGAAAGTATAGGTGAGTTGACATGACAGTAACTATTGCTAGTCCGATTTGCCTCTGTACAGACTCTACGAGAAGCTTCCTTTGGTGTGCATCAAAGGGTGGTTTTTAATGGGTTTTGTGGTGCCTTGGTTCTTCCCTTACAATTTCAATCCTACACCGTCAAAATCCAGTCTGATTTGTTATTATGAAAAATGTCTTTTAAAAATGTTGACAATTTGGAAA